GAGGCCAGCCTGGGCTACCAAGTGAGTTCCAGGAAAGGCGCAAAGCTACACAGAGAAACCCTGTCTCAAAAAACAAAAACAAAAACAAAATAAATAAATAAAAAATGCTTTCTTTGTCAACTGGGAAATATTAAAGACAAGACTAAATAATGTCTCCTATTAACTAAGCTTTTGAACAAGCATCTGTAGCAAAAGTCAAAACCACTACACCAGACTCAGAAAGATAAATCGTGCCTATTTTCTTTTACATGCAAAATATAGATTTAAACATAAATAAATGCATAACACACACACATACACACACACACGAAGCAACATGAAAGCGGAATAGAGACTATGATAAGTTATGATATCTAAAGAAGGGGGAGGGAGTAAACAAGAGGTCATGGAGTGGAGAAAAACAAAACGTTTTCTTTCACATGCAGAAATCTAGCTTTAAGATATATTTGGATAGATATGCATACACATATGTGTAAGAATGAAAGCAGAGGACATTGTAGGGGAGAGAAAGCAAACCAGCGAGAGAAAGGAAAGACAGCAGAGGGTAGAGAAGTGGTATGGAGCTAAGAACAATTATATGTATGTACACAGATATCATAATGACATATGGTGGTATTTTATTTGTACTGAAATGTGATTTTATTTGTATGTTAATAAATAAGTTCCATTATTTTGCACAGTAATTAAAAAAGTTAGTAAAATATGAAACAATAAACCGAAATCAGTGCCCACTTTCAAGAACTATTAGTTTGAAACAGTAGCCTCTTCCTGTGGCAGTAACCATTTTATGTTCCTACCCAAGGGTGATTTATAGCAATACTGTGAGAATATGCTCAAGAGTACTGAGAAATGAGGTACATCACACTAGCAAGCAAGGGCTCTATAACTGTTGCAGTGACCATCATCTTGGAAAGGAGATTATGTTAGCTCTTGTAGCCATGGAAACGAATTGAGCAGAACCCCAAAGATGCAGCTAGGTCCTAAGTAATGGTGATGAAGCTGTGATATACACTAATAGAAAAGGTTTAGGTGGGGTCCCAGGAGCTTCAGCTGGGGTTGCAGCAATTACTTTCTGCTCTGTCCTCCCCCAGGGCAAATGATCTTGGGAGATGCTAAAATATATAAAAAATGGAAGTTTATCTGAAAGGAAGGCTCTATGATGCCGCTTCTATGAGGTTGTCATTCATGATGGGATGGGACTTCATAGTAATACAGCTGCTTTGGGGTCAACCATGCTATGTAAATAAGCCTAAAAACTCACTGGTCCATCAAATTGGACTTCAATAAAATAGTTATTTTATTTTGTCATCGGTGCCCTCTGTGGGCTGCTTGTTTCCATCTACCCAGGAAAACTTCACATAACAGTAATCTATATAGTAATCCAAAAATCCAACACAAGTATTTGAATGTGTGTGTGCACATCCAGCTTACCTGGAATACCACTCTGGATTTCTCTAAAAGGTAAGTTCTCATATTGGCACCAATGATTCGATATCTCTTATCAAAACCAATTTCAATATATTTCCCAAACCGGCTGCTATTATCATTCCTGGTTGTTTTAGCATTTCCAATTGACTAAGAAGCAAGAGAGAAAACAAGATTTTAGAAGGGTACTGTATGTCATTTACAAAGCTTACTCAGAAAGAGAAGGACTAGAACATATATCTTAGTTTTAACTGATTCTTTTAATATGAATTCTTCCCTTGTAGGCAGCATAACTCTCTGCTTGGACCCCAACTGCACAGGTAGATGCCAACAGTTTTTCTTAGTCTGGTCATTTCATAGAAATGAATTTCAGGAGTAGCAGGACTGAGGCAGCAGTGGTGAGATTTTCATACACCATCTTGTCATTAGCCATCAAAAATTCAGAAGACTGTCTTGTAAATGAAATCATTAAGACAAAGGAAAATTTCCCTGGCAATGCTGGTTTGGTATAAAAGGTCTCTTTAGAACTAGACAGTTCTATCACCTTATCCTATAACAACAGAGGTCAAATGGGACTGCTTATTAGCAGGTCCTAGTATTATCCATTCTACTGATTGATTTCATTTTAAGATAGCATCTCACATACTCCAGGCTAGCCATGAGCTCCTTATGAAGCTGAGGATGTCTTTAAACTTCTTATCCTCCTGCTTCTACTTCCCAAGTACAGAGGTTATAGGCATGTGTCAACATGCCTGCCTTTACTCACTCAATTTGAATGCCATTTTCAGAAACCAAAAGAAAAAAATGGGAGCTTTCTTGAATATAATGTGAATGTGTATATGTGTACAAGTACACATGTGCAGTTGTACTGTACATGACGCCCAGAGGTTAATGTCAGGTGTCTTCCTTGACAACTGTCCACTTTATTTACTGAGGTACGGTTTCTCACAGAACCCAAAGCTGATAATTCAGCTTGTCTAGCTACCCAGCTTGCCCTGGGGATCCTGTCTCTACCTCCTAAGCACTAAGATTACAGGCACGCCACCAACCCAGCTTTTTAATGTAGGTACTCAGGACCTAAAGGCTGATTCACACTTTATCCATGAGCTACCTCCTCAGACCCCAATTATTTGTTGTTATTGTTTGGGGGTTGTGTTTGTTTGTTTTAAAGACGTCTTATGTAGTCCAGGTTCACCCAGAACTTGCTATGTAGCTGAGGATGACCTTGAACTGATCCTCCTGCCTCTACCTGTAGAGTGCTACGATTACAGGCATGCGCACAAGACTTTGTTCATGTTAGGCAGATACTCTTCCAACTGAGTAACATCTCCAGCCCAGCACTAGTTTTGATGGTTTTATCTAGCTTGTAAAATATCTTCAACCAAATACTAAGAATGTAACTTTCTACTTAATATTGTACATAACCTTAAAATTTTGATGGCATATGTCTGCTTTTTAATTTAGTAGAAAGTAACATGCTTCTATAAATTTTCCTTTTAAGGAAACAAAACAAAACAAAACAAAAAAAAAACAAGTGTAGTTAGAAGAGCAAGCATTCACATTACGTATATATATTAAACACTCAATAACTTTATTTCATATAAGATTAACATTTGCCCCTTGTGCAAACTCTGTTAGAATTAGTATATCAAAACCATAATGAAGAGAAAGATGTGGAAATAGTGCAGAATGTTAAGAGAAAGAGTAATATCAGGGATAAGACAATAGGAGCGTAGCTAGAGTCAGCATACTTGAAGCTTGACCAGTCAAAGAAAATGTGTCCTTACTGTCCCAAACAGAAGGAAGAGAGTATCAGAATTTGTGTCAGCAATGAGGATATTATTAGAATTTGGGTTAACATTTTTAGTACATTTTATATTGCTTCAGACTTATCTCTTCTTCAACTTACAGCTTTATGAAATGAACGATCATGGATACTGGTTGGGTTGATTTCCACTGGGTATTTTAGAGTAACTTTCTAAAGTGCTCCACAGGTGATAACTTTATGAATTGTTTAGTGACTAACTTTTGGGTATGGTGCTGTACTCAAAAAAGCAAAGTTACACTACAAAAAAAAATCTCAAATGTCCTTTTTTCAAACAGACTGCATTTGAACAGAGCTGCCCATATGTTCATGGACAATATACCAGGAGCCACACCCCTGAAGGAAACTGAGTCTCCAGCCCTCTGCAGCCATCAGCTACAAAGAGCTCTGAGGCAGGAGCAGGGCTTCATGAACTCCTCCACCACCCTGGCTGGGATTCCGACTTGCTCGGACCCTGTACTGGTCTCATGCAGGCAACCACAGCTGCTGAGAGTTCATGACTGCAGCCGCCCTGCTATGTCCAGAAGACACCATTTTATGGCAGCCCTCCCCATTCTCTGCTCTTATAATCTTTCTGCCCCCTCTTGTGATATTCTTGAGCATTTGGGGAAGAGTGCAAACACAGATGTCCCATTTAGGGCTGAGCACCCCACAGTCATTTATTTTCTACATCCTGATCAACTGTGAATAGTTCACCCTTCTTGACATTATAAAAAAACTTACTATGCCATCCATTTTCTGGTGTTTTATTTAGAAGTATGAGATTAATAATAAATACAGAATTTTCAGTTGAAAGGATATATTCTGTGAAAAAGTAAATACAAGGTTACCTGTAGTAAAAGCGGCAATATCAATGATATCAATGAGTGCTTAAAAGGCCCTGCCCTGTGTAATTTCACGTCTGTATCTAAGGGGGAAGTGATCTACAATTTCTATTCCTCAGCCTGTATCTACTGTCCATCTCTCACACTAGACTGTCAACTTGCTAAAGCAATGCTACAGACTGTGAGAAGTGGGCAGGTGAGGGCTAAAGCAGGTCTTTTTGTCTCTCGGTAAAACATTTAAACAGAACAACAAATGAAGGACGGAGCAAATGCAGTCGGTTGGAGGGCTTGGGTATCAGAGGAGCCCATTCAGTCTCTCTGAGAAGCACTACCATCCCCAGAGGAAGAGATGAGCTTATGAAAGTAAAAAGGGGAATGTTGGGGATGAAAGGTATAAGTGTCAGGAACAGGAAGATGGGAGGGAGGGGCAGGTATGTGTCAGAGGAGCAGGGGCTCAACCTAAGATAATTATGCATGAAAATGCCATAAGGAAGCTTGTCATGTTATATGCTAACCAACAAATTTAAAAAATTAAAACACTGGGGGCTAGAGAGATGGCTCAGTGGTTAAGAACACTGGCTGCTCTTCCAGAGGAACCAGGTTTGAGTCCCAGCATCCACATGGCAGCTCACAACTGTTTCTAACTCCAGTCCCAGAGGATCTGATGCCCTTTAGCTTCTGTAGGTACCAGGCAAGGATGTGGTGCACCTACACACATGCAGGCAAAACATTATATACATAAAATAAAAATTTAAAGACTAATGACATGATTCTAACCTTTAGACTTAATATGGAAAGATGTATCTTTTGTTTATATTTTCTAGTTGTTTCTTCTGTCTTATAAGTACTATATCCATAAGACTCTAATGTTCTTTTCATTTCAATCAACAAGAAATTGCTATGTTATAGGAAGGTTATGGCTATGGTTCAGTCGAAACATCCCTGCTTCTCTAGGACCAAGTGAACTTGAACATGGTTGATAATCTTTTTGATGTGTTCTTGAATTGGGTTTACAAGCATTACATTGAGAATTTTTACAACAATATCTATCAGAGATTCTGACCTATAATTTTCTTTTTTGTTATGTCTTTGTCCCTAATGTTGGTATAAGGGTAATGTTGGCTTTGTAAAAAGAATTTAGAAATGTTCCTTCATTTTCTATTATACTAAGTAATTTGAGGAGTATTGATATTATTTCTTCTTTCAAGGTCTGGTAGAATTCTGTCCTGAATCCATCTGGTCTCTCTCTGGTCTTGAGCTTTTTTTTGTTTTTATCGGGGGGGGGGGCGGTTAATTACTGTTTCTATCTCATTGGAGGTTACAGGTCTATTTACATTATTAACTTCATCTTGATATAGCTTTGGTAGACCATATATATCTAGAAATTCATTTTAAGTGATTTTTTTCCAGTTTTGTGGAATACAAACATTTTAAATTAGAATGTCCTTATGATTCTCTGAATTTCCCCCAGTGTCTGTTGTAATATCTCCCTTTCTATATCTAATTTTATTAATTTGGATTTGTGCTCTCTTTACTTAATTTGGATGAAGGTTTGTTAAGCCTGTTAATCTTTTCCAAGGAACAATCATCATTTTATTGATTCTTTGTATTATTTTTCTTCATCTCTCTTTTATTAATTTCAGCCCTGATTTTGATTATCTCTTCCTGACTACTCTTTTGGGAATTATTTGTTCTTGTTTTTCCAAGGCTTTCAAGTATGTCCTTAAATTATTAATTTGAGATCTCTCATGTTTTTGATGCAGACACTAGGTGATATAATCTTTCCTTTTGGAAAGTTATTTCAATTTTCCTATATTTGTTTAGGTTTGCTTTGTTCTAATATGTGATTGATTTTGGAGAAAATTCCATGAGCTACTGATAAGAATATGTATTCTTTACTGTTTAGGTGGAATATTCAGTAGATATCTGTTAGGCTCATTTGATTTATGATATCAATTTGACTCCAGTTACCTGGCTTAGTTGTTCTGTTCTCAGTATATTGGTGAGAGTAGAAATCACTCACTATTATCACTAGGTTGTGGTCAGTCTGTGGTTTTATATCAAACAGTGTTTCCTTTATAAAACTGAGTACCTCCATGTTTGGTGCATATATCTTTAGGTTTTTAATTTGAGACAAGATTTTGCTATGTATCCCTGGCTAGTTTATAACTCACTGTTTAGCCCAGGCTGGACTCCAATTCATGTTGATCCCTTTGCCTTAACTTTCTAAGAGCTGAAATTATAGATATGAGCCATCAAAATTGTTATTTATTGATTGATTGATTTTAGTTTGTCAAGACAGGGTTTCTCTGTGTAGCTTTGGCACCTTTCCTGGAACTTACTCTGTAGCCCAGGCTGGCCTCAAACTCACAGAGGTCCACTTGCCTCTGCCTCCTGAGTGCTAGGATTAAAGGCATGTGCCACTGCTGCTGCTGCCACCACTGCCATTGCCACCGCCACCACCTGGCTTTTTTTTTTTTTTTTTTTTTTTTTGAGACAAGGGCTATGTAGTCCAGATTGGCCTCACACTCACCATGTAGCCAAGACTCACCTTGAGCTCCTGGCCCTCTTGCCTCTACCTCCTAAATGCTGGGATTACAGGTGGTATGCCACTACTTCTGCCTCCCACATTCTATTTTAGTCTTTTAAATTAAAACAACCTGTTTGCAGTTGCTAAAAATTCTCTACTTTAAAAAAAAATCATTTATTTTTATTTTATGTGTACATGCAACACATGTGTGCCTGGTGCCAGAGAAGAACTGAAGAGGGTGTTATATTCTTTGGAATTGGAGTTTGAGGTGCTTGTAAACCACTATGAGGGGGGCTGGGAACCAAATCCAGACCCTCTGCAAGAACACAAAATACTCTCATTGCTTCTGCCTCGGTCTCCAAGAGCTTGGATCACAGTAATGAGGCACCATGCCTGGCAAGAGCAGCGAGGACTCTGAGCGATCTCTCCAGGCAGGGAAATTCTCTACTTTTTGTATATGGTATTGGGAACCGAACCCAGGGACTTGTAATGAAGCTGTCTACTGCTGAACTACACCCCTCGACGGTCCTTTGTCAGGGGAACTCTTCATCTAAATGCAAATAAGTAAACAGTGATACAGAAAGAGAACCTTTATCTTTTTTTTTCTTGCTCATCTCAGCAAACAAGGTAAACTCCTCTTAATTGCATTTTATTTTTTTAAAAAAAGTGTGTGTCCATTTTAAAATTTTAGTATCATTCCTACTAACAAAACTCAAATTTACTGTAAACCATGACAACAAAACAACACAGCTGTTTTTTAAAGAGGTAGAAAACTGCTTTTGACATTATTTTAAAAAGGTCATTGGGACACATTCCCAAAACAAACTCAAATTCTAGTTTTGGATGATTTAGCCTAAAAGACCTGGGATTTCCTAAAGCTCTGATAATCAAGATTTTAGGATATTCCAAAATTAGGAACTAGGATGTCTTAGGGCTCTGTCAAATACTAGGAATCTGTTGCACTGGGGAAAAAATGGATAAAAGCCTAAAATAAACCCTGTTGTTTTTGAACTCAAGTTAAAAACTGGCTCCACAAACTGTATGGCTCCTATATTATCATCAGTAGCATCCACTACAATATACAGAGCTAAATCCTTTCAAAACCTTAATTTTAGATTTTACTACTTTCCTGTGGCACAGCCACCTGCTCCTTCCTGCTGATGTTATAACAGAAACTTCCTCCTCCTTCCTGCAGCACACCTAGCTTTGGAAGCCTCTCCACTTCCTCAGAGTATCTTGTGTAGGCCATCCAGGAATGGGAGTCCTGCTGCTCTAAGGGGCAGCCATGTAGACACAGGTCACAGCATCCGTTTTAGAGATGTTACACACAGCACTGCAAACCAGGCACAATTACCTCTCGTCAGTTTACTGCAAAAACCACTTGTACCAAGGCGCATCAGGTCAATTTTAGTTCCATCTGTGTTTGGCTGATAACGAGAACTTGACAGGAAAAAGACAGGGATAAAATCATGCCCATGTGAATTTTTACATGAAGGGTTTGTTTCTGCCTGTCCTGATTTCTCTCCATTTAATGAAATCTATTTTTCTCATTTTTCACAAAGCTATAACCTCCCTGAAGTACTAGTAATAAGCAATTCTCTTCCAGCTACAAATCTTTAAACATCAAATTGTCATACATCCAATCCCCTTGTTTTTGGCACAGGCATTTCTACCTTGTATGTGGCCTTGACTTTGGCTTAGTTTGGTTTTTCTGAGGCAGAGTCTCACGAGCCTCCAGCTCATGGTGGTCTTCCTCCCTTAAGCCTCCCCAATGCTGGGATATCAGGCATAAATCATCATACCCATCTGACTTTTGAAGGTACATTATCTTTTCATAGTATTTCCTTTCTCAAGAATTTATAATTTTGAATTTCTTTACTAAGACATACCTATATAATACATTTGTTCTTCTTTTTTGTTTTTTTGAGACAGGGTTTCTCTGTGTAGCCCTGGCTGTCCTGGAACTAGCTCTGTAGACCAGACTGGCCTCAAACTCACAGAGATCCACCTGCCTCTTCCTCCAAAGTACTGGGATTAAAAATACCTACCTCAACTGCCTGGAAACAGTTTTATTTTTTTCTAAAAGTAAAAAATACTCATGTGATTAGGGTTTATGTATGTAATTTAGATTTGGGAAAAAATTAAAATTTGTAGCTAAAGAGGTTGAACTAAGCACAGAAAATGTATCATGGGTAAAAGGATACAGAACTCACTCTTGCTTGAGTGAGAGCAAATCCTGTTTTGGAAGGAGTATAAACAAGTACTCAGGACTGGGAGGAAATGAGTAACTTTACCTCTGTACAAGGAACAATAGCTATGAAGAAGTGCTGCCTGGTATTATAGGCAGAGTTCTTTCTGAAAGTTAAAAGGAAACATTATGGAGTAATGAAGATTCCTCTACATCTAGGGTTTACTCAAAACACCCACCTTCAGAATTTTCACTCTTCCTAGATCTCTTACTAATAGACAGAAAATAATTCCCTTAGTTTTAGTGGATGGAAACCTTAGACTTTCTGTCATGTACTACAGTAATCAAGTGTTGAGACATGTACTACAGTAATCAAGTTTTCAGCTCCTTTCTTAATCAGCGACTATAGAAAAAGGTCGAGAGTGTTGCTCTTACCTCCATGATGGGGTTGGAGGCCAAGACCTTTTCCTCAACATTGGCCTCACTGGCAGAACCACTTACAGTTGCGAAGTATCGCATGGCATACTTAGCTGAGACTGTCTTTCCTGCGCCCGACTCTCCACTTACAATGATGGACTGATTTCGTTCATCCCTATAAAACAAATAAGCGTGACTGCCAGTGCGTCTACTTCTGAATCCAACGACTTACGTGCCTTTCTCCCATGAGGCAGAGTGAGTTTCTGCTAGTTCATATATACGACAAGGTAGAAGCAAATATATTTATTTGAAACATATAAACATATTTGAAACAAATAAATTTATTTATTTGAAATTATATTAAAAAACAGTATTTATTAATAAGAATGACTACCTATAAACAAGACAGAAAAGAAGGATATACCATTAACTTACGAGAATTATATAACTAAAAACAACTCTGTATTACAGGCATTCTGAATTTTCCATGTGTGTATCTTACAGTATTTTATTCATGGACATTTTCATTGGCATTTTATAATATTGTCAGCTATCATAGAATAAAAGCGGAATATTCTTTGGATCCACAACAGAAGAATTTAGGGGGGAAAAGTTCTTCATTAAAGTTGTATAAAATCATTTGAAATATTTCAAATCTATCTGCTAATGATCTATGAAGTAGACTCTCCCATAAGCTTCTGTTCCTACCAATCACTCATAGTACCAGGTAAGAATCCATTTTGTTGGCTAATTTCATTTAAAAAATGCCATCACATTCATGGCTGAAGATACAGTAATAGAATACCACTATTATGTTTTGTTGTGTGTGAAGATGAAGCCTAAGTTGCAGTGGAGACCCCAGATTGTTGATGTCAGACCAGGAGGCACTGATTATAGAGAGATGCATGCGGAGAATGGAGTGACCACAAAAGAGAGCTATATGCACACTGTGGGTGGTAGAGCTGGAAGGGCTGGAAGGGTAGAGCTACCCCAGCCTTTGGAACCATGTCAGACACGGAACTGCAGACTTTGGTATTTTTCCTGCTGAGTTTTAGTCTTGTCTTGTTCTGACCATTCCTTATTAAGCCCCCATTCTTACCTGCTGCAATGGAGATTTTCATTCTGTGCCATTATGTACTGGAAGTATGTAATTTGTTTTTTTAATGTATATACATACTTATATATATACATATATGTGTGTATGTATATATGTGTGTATATATATAGTTTATATATATATGTATATATATAGTTATATATATATATATATAGTTATAGTTATAGTTACGTTTTTGTTTTTCAAGACAAAGTTTCTCTGTGTAGTTTTGGAACCTGTCCTGGAATGCACTCTGTAGACCAGACTGGCCTGGAATTTACAGAGAACCACCTGGCTCTGCCTCCCGAGTGCTGGGATTAAAGGTGTGCGCCACTGCCACCCGGCTTGTTTTGTATTTTATAAGAGCTTGTAGTTAAGAAATGGTTTTGAATCTCAAATGAGACTTGGACTTGGAATTTTTAAACAGTGTGGGGACTGCCAAATACTACGGTAACTTTAGAATTTGACTGATTACATTTTACATCATGAGACAGCCATGAGCCAAGGGGACAAGAAATGCAAGGTTATGGTTTTAAAGTCATGTGTTTGGTGTCAAACTGACAATGGGTAAAGCTGTGATGTTTAAACTGGATTGTTAAATTGATCAGATTTAGAATCCCTGGTTATGTCTGTGAAGATCTAGACTTGGTTAATTGAGTAAATTCTACCACAAGTGTGGCAATACAATTCCAGGGGCTGGGGTTCCGAGGAAAAATGAGCTGATCATCAGCATTTATCTCTGCTTCCTGGCTGGTGATGCAAAGTGGTTTCTTCTGCTGTGACCTCCTGCCACCAAGGACTAGACTTTAGAGTGTGAGCCAAACAATCCCTTCCTTCCTCAAATTGCTTTTGTCACGTGCCTTGTTACAGCACCAATCAAAGTAGCTGATGCGGCCGGGCAGTGGAGGCAGAGCCAGGCAGATCCCTGTGAGTTCCGAGGCCAGCCTGGGCTATAGAGATCAGGACAGGCACCAAAACTACACAGAGAAACTCTGTCTCGAAAAATTAAAAAAAAAAAAAAAAAAAGTAACTGACGCAGAGAGGAAACTTTTTTATATTTTAGTCCATATTCACTTGGGTCCCTTGTTTCTGGGCCATGCTGACTCACAGCACAGAACAAGAAGCAAAAGCAAAGCTGCTCCCCTCATGGCAGCCAGGAAGCAGACAAAACTGAGACGGGGAAGGGATGAGAAAAAAAACCTTGAAAGACATATTCCCAGCAGTCTATTTCCTTCAGCCAGGTTGTACTTCCTAATAGCAGATTCAGCTTGGAACTCATCAATGGATTAACTCACTGAAGAAGTCAGTGCATTTATTATCCAATTGCCTTTCAATAACAGTACCAAATCTTCAGCACTCAAACCTTTGAGCCATTGTATACTAATATTATAACATAGGGCATATACACATGTGGTACAAAACCTGACTTAGGATGTACTGACTGAAAGTCATAAAGCATCTGTATAAGACCATCCTTATAAGGTAGCATGCATTATACCACGCCCATTATATAACGAGGATACTTGGCACCACATAGTAGCTGAGTCACCATTGTTAACAGGAGAGATTTCATCATCCATAAGAGTAATTTTCCACTTAGCCAATGAACCTCAGGATACTGGAGCATTCAGAAACCACATAACTAAATGAAAGAAGGGATGGCCTAAGAAAGGCCTGGTCATAACAAAGTCAGAAGTAATAAAAGCAGGTGACACGTCTGAATGGATGGAAGAAGATTGAAGAGATGATGCTTCACAAAGATGAAAGGAAGAGCTTGAATCTGAATTCAAGTGCTTCTGCATTTATCAGCTGATATAATTTTAAACCCCGGAAGAGAAGGACAGACACTCTCTTGTCCTCTTTGGAGAAAACAACAGAGGAGTTAGTTTGACTAAAGTTGGTGACTGGATGCCAACAGCGGGTGGTCACAGCCTAACTGCAGGGATCTGGGGAGGTCTCTAGACTCCCTCTGCTTTGCTATACCGCTCCTTAGCATGGTCTGTCCTTCACTAGGAAGAAGAAAAATGCCCATGCATTAATCCTATCATATATATCAATAACAAATACATTTCACACAACACTGTACTATCAAGCTAGACCACTTGTGGAACTGTTCCATCTTATAGTTGAGTAAACAGAGATCCTGAGATTTAAGTTCTGTGATTACTAGGAGAGAAGCAATTAGTACAAACAGCTTTAAAAAAAAAACTATATCCAGGTTAATTAGACAGTACTATTTTTTTTTTCAATAAAAACCACAAATGAAACTTAGGAACATTGCTCTCTATGACTCACAAAGGACAGGAAATATATAAAATTAAGATAATACCCCACCACATGGCTATAAGGAAACAAAGCTAAATTTTGATGTTTTAATGACACTAATACTGTGATATTGGTAAAGGTGGGGTGGCTCAGAAGGTGAAGTCAGTTGGCTAGGTACTAAGTCTGATGACCTGAGCTCCATCCTTGAAATTCACATGGAGAGAGAACTGACTCCTGTAAGTTTTCCTCTATGCTAACACACACACACACACACACACACACACACACAATAACACACCACACCACACCCAAATAAATAGTTTTAAGATGAGAAAAGACAAGTAAGAATGTGAGAAAAGGAATACAAGAAGAAAAACAGATACTGAACTCTATTCGCCTTTTCTCCTCTAGAAGTTAGCAGGGCCACTAAAAGTAAGAGTGTGACAGTATGTCACAAGGGCACTGTCCTGTAAGGAGCATGTTTAGAATGGAGATGGGGCCTGATCATTCTAAGTAAAACACCTATAACAGGGCTATCACGGTGGCTGTACAGGTAAAGGCACATGCCACCAGACCCTTTTCTGGCCTCCTCATGTACTGTACCAGCATGGAGCACACACATACATGCAGGTAAAATACCCATACACATGCAATAAAGAAATAAACTACGATGCTGCCTCCCACCCCTACCACGTACACATGGCCCACTCTTCCTCCTGTAACTTCTTCATCTCTAGAAAGGGAACTGCTCACTTTCCAGCTCTCAGAACTAATCCTGTTGTCATCCTGACTCCCGCTTCTCTCTTACCCTGCATCGGCCAGTTTTTCCCCAGTTCCATCTTAAAAATATATCCAGAACCTATTTCTTCTCACCATCCTCATTAATATTCTCAACTAAACTGTCCTTTCTCACTCAGCTCCCACCTCATCTCCTGACTTCTACCCCAGCTTGCTGTGTTTGCTACTGTAAAGCTACTCTGATGTGATTTCAGAGTGTAGAAAGGAGCACACCTAGTAAAATGAAGTCCTGCTTATGCTTCCCTCCGATGCAGGAGCTGTCCACTCGCTGTTTCTCTGTTTCTCTCAGTCTAATGCTGTCGGCAACATTGTGAGTGTAGGTTGTAAATATGGACACTCCTACCTCCTTCATGATGGTTCCTAAGTAGAGCTTTGTTCTCACCAGTTTATGCTGACACAGATCAGGAAGGTTAATATCACTATAATCAATCGTCCTAGTGACAGCTGACAAACCTGAGCCCTATTTACTTTTATTCTGTTCCAGGCTTTGTTTGTGGGGTGGGACTTTTATCTAGTTCGCTGCTACATCATGTCCAGGACAGTGGTTGGTTTTCGGATTGTGATTATGAAATTTCTGTCAATAATGATGAATGTATCTTTCCTAAAGATGTGAGGGGTTTGTAGGAACAGTGGTGATGGGAAACACAAGATTCATATCTGGGAAAGATGGCATGTTTATTTGGTAAGGGAAAAAAAGGTAAGAAAATGATTCCTGACTAAGCCAAAGCAAATACTCTGCTTGGTGACTGTATTAGATTTTGTGGGTGCAGATTTATTAATATAAGTGATAAATATTCTAACTAACTGAAGCATATTTTCAAACTATAAGAGAAAACTAGGCAAAAAAAAAAAAAACAAAAACCAACCAACAACCTTCAGTTAAGAAATTGTACTGACTGACTCATGGGGAATATCACGTGGGATGAGGAGAATGCCAGGAAGCAAGCTGAATCTACTGACATTTGAGGGTTGCCACAATGAGGAAAGAACCATGCTTTCAGATCTAAGAACAGCATTGGGGCTGAGGATAGGCTTAGCATATGCAAAACTCTTGCTTTGATCCCCTGAGTCAAAGAAAGTATTTCTGAGAAGTCGTATAATTCTTGAAGTATTATGAAATTCTTCAGAGATCAATGCTAGAGTCTAGCAGTCCACGGGACTTCCTCTCTGACCCAGGGGTCTCAGGCTGCACTGAGTGGTCAGCACTGCACTTCTAGAACTAGAAAAATCAAGTACTGGATGTCACTGCCAGCCTAGAGGAGGATGCACTGACAGATGGAACTTTCTTAATGTTAAGCTTTAAACATTGGATAATCATTACCATTTAATAGTATTTATCAGGCATAATGTAGCATATTATATATTGTTAATTCACTTAGTAAGTTTATATTCAATATGCTAATATTTTAGTGTCAGACTAACTGAACTTGAAAGATGATCTTCCTATTGATGAGACCTTAGAAAAATTATACAACTTCTCTGAGCCTCAGTTTTACCACTTGTAAAATGAAGTTTTAATGTAATATGAAATTTAATAACAACACCAAACTCAAAAAGTTGTGAAGATAAATTTTGTTAGTAAATTGAAAGTATACAGCTAACTTTAGCTATTATTATTATTATTAAAATGTACTATTATTATTATTAAAACTTCAATGGGCTCTTTCATTGAAATAATTCTAAAATTATGTCATTCTTTGGCCCAAGAATGTATATTGGTTGCAAAAGCGAAAATAAAAGCCTCTATAATGTTAGCTTCTTTTCTATACTATAAACTGCTTTGGAGGTTTCCCACGGCATATCTTACCAAGTTCCTCCTTCTAAGCAGAAGAAATTAGTTAACTTATTTATGTACCCACCCTTTCACATTACAACATGTCATTTATTTTATTTCCCAGTCTCTGCCCTCAAAGGTTCGGGCTCTGTGGGTGATGGGAGACATTTTGCAGATGTTCTGTATACATACACATATTTTTAATTGCTACAAACAGATAATTTCCTTTGCCAGCTCCTACGTCTCTTAGTTATCTGGTCCTTGCTGAGTGACATTAGAGAAGTCACCTCTTACTAAGGTCACTACTAAACTCTGACGCTCTCACCTTACAACACACCACCTGTCCTTGCTTTGTCACAGGAACATGATGAGATTCTGAAGGCAACTTAAAAACAAGCTATACGATCTGTTTATAAATGGGAGAGGTTAATATTTAATTAAACAGTCCAGACAGTCTGAGAAAAATTGGCCAAAGGTACTTAGGCAATAACTATTTACAAGTCTTCATTCTTTTTAAATTTTCCTAACACAGCAAAGAATAAATTACCTTATCTAACAAGAGCCATGAAATGATGATAGAAGTTTCTACCAACCTTGCCATTTGCTTATAAGCCTCTTCAGCTACTGCAAAGATGTGAGGATCCATGTCACCCATGTTCTGGCCACTGTATGCATTAATAATGTCTTCTCCATAAATAGGCAGCTGTTCATAGGGATTTATAGCTACTAGGACTATTCCTGGGGGAGAAGGGGGAGAAAGAAAATGAAATCAATGACACCCCAATGGGCACATCAAACTTGGTAAAGTAAGGCAGCACAAAACCTTGTTTCAACTTAGTTCACATTAAACTAATGAATTGCTCAAAGATCAAAATACACCACAGTCTTTGGCATTCTAAATTATTATACATAGTCCTAACTAATCTGGACTAGATTGTTTAAAATAACGTGACTTGGATAGGGATGGAGCTCAGAGCAGAGGTCTTGTCAATCATTTGGAAAGCTCTGGGATTTATCTCCATTGCGGGGGGGGGGGGGGAGTAATAATGTCTTAAGCAATTTAAATATCTTCATACTTAGTTAAAACAAATTGGGGGCTGAAGAGATGGCTCAGGGGTAAAGATCACTGCTCTTGCAGAGGACCTGAGTTCAGTTCCCAGCACCCCTGTCAGGCAGCTCACAACTGCCTGTGACTCCAACTCCTAGCAATCAGACCCTCTTCTAGACTTTGCAAGTACCCAAATGCATGTATACACACACACACACACACACACACACTCCCTATACATACAAACAATAAAATAAAAATTTTAAAAGCTCATTTCTAGAAATTTATCCAGTGCAGTAATGAGAGATTCATTCAAAGGGTTTTCTTTTAGAAGGACATCAAACTGGTAGTCATACAGTGAAAACAGAAATAAACTATATATATATATATATATATATATATATATATATATATATATATATATATAATTGTGATTCTACATGAGCATTTTTCCACACCACAAAACACATGCTTCTGAAGAACATTAAATGTCATAGAAAGTGGAGATAGGTTGAGGATCAGAAGTTCAAGGTTATCCTCAGCTACATAATGAGTACCAAAACAGTCTGGGCTATATGAGTCTCAAAAGAAAAAAAAAATGACAGAAAAATATGACATATGTGCAAAAAAGTAAATTGAGGGCCTGGAGAGACAGCTCAGTGGTTTGGAGCACTGCTATTGCAGAGGACCTGGGTTTGGTTCCCAGCACTACATGGTGGTTCAATACCATCCATAACTCCAGTTCCAGGGTACCTAATACTCTCTTCGGACCTCCACAGGCACCTGATACACTACACATGTGGTATACATACATACATGCAGACAAAACACTCCTACACATAAAATAAAACAAGTCTAAAAATATAAATTGAAGAAAAATAAGGAAAATATTTAAATAGGGACAAAGAAAGGTTATCATTAAGAATATATGAGACATAAATTCTCCTGAAAGGAAAAATGGCTGTGCCTGCTTAAACAGATAACAGTGAAGACAAGATAAACATGACATGGATCAGCAAGCCAACGAACACATGGGAATGAATGAACACCAGATCTGGACCTCTGAAGAAGCATGATTAGTAAGATAGAGGGATGGTCACGAGGGAGAAGAGCCAGAGAAGTGGGAGGAAATAAATACGAACAAAGTAGAGGGGAGAAAAACAAAGACAGATGGGCCGGGAGAAGAACTGAGGCCGTGCACACATGTTCAAGCTTCACTTCTGAGAAAACTGTCATGAGCTGGGCTGCTGACAGCTGATACTGCGGGAAGGAGACAGGCTCACCACAATGTGTCCGTCCTGGTGTCTAGGTGAGGCTAAAGGCGCGCTGACCCTGCACCTGCACCAAATGCCAGTCTGGGGACATCTACCCTTCATGGAGTGGGTTTTCATAAGAGGAAAGAACAGGTGACTTCAGCACTGATTCTGACGTGACTGGGAGGGGAGGGTCCCAAAGATGGACCTGTTCTTTTTATGTTGAGTGAAATCGTGTAAATTCACAAATAACTTTATTTGGCATGAAATGTAACTAGCTAATGAATACTGGTTACCTTTCTGGTAACTTTGAAGAGATTTTTGTATGTATAAAAAATTCAACCAAGCTGGTTTTCCCTGCGTGCACTCCCGTCACTCCATCCTCCAAAGGAAAGCTTGCGGCTCATCAGCGAAGCACTTACCACAGTATGTATAAATGAGTTTGGAATCGATGAAGCGAACTCGGAGATTATGGAGCACAGCAGGCTCATGAAGATAGCTGAGGGCTGTGAGATCATTTTCACCCACAAGTATGTCAGGGTTCCGCAAGTGAGGCAGCTCCTTGGTCTTTGGATCTAGACGGTATTCCAAATCCTGAGGACAGAGGATGCAACAGCTATGTCAATAAAGATGAACATGAAACAGACCTATGCACTTGATGATTTCCTTTTTCTGATTTGCCTCTTGGCTTTTGTATGTATTTGTTTCCTGTCATTTTTCCATTATCAAAAAAACTGGTAAAAATAGCAAACAATAAAGAGTGGCTTTTTCATCAGACATAAATATGCATAAATAATTTAAGGTTTTATTTTCATGTTTAATTATGCACTTGTGTGTAGTGTATAAGGATGTATGTGTGTACATGATGCAGCTGTCCAGAGTCTAGAGAGGACATTTGATTTCCTGGAATTGGAATTACAGGCATGAGCTGCCCAATGCAGGTGCAGGAAACCAATCTCTGGTCCTCTGGAAGAGCAATACATACTTTTAACACTGAGCCATCTCTCCAGACCCACTGTAATAATTTTTTGTTAATATAGTTAAAGAAGTCAGAGCCTAGAGATTTTAACCCCAAAACTTTAACCATTAGATGAGTTCTCATCTCCCTCTTCACTCCACGTATGGGGAGAGATAGACAGTATAAATGAGGTCAAGAGCTCAGCTCTGGAGTCAGACTGACCTAGGTTCAAACCCTTAACTTCCATTTGTGTGCTTTGTGTGCACTATTTAAACTAAAGCTTTCATTTGTAAGATGGTTTAACAAAAATATCTCAAAAAGTTGTGGCAAAAATTAAAGAAGCAATGCTTGGCACGCTCTACAACCCCCTAAGAGCCCCAAGAATCCTCTGAAATTATGTGTCACATTGTGTGTACATATTTGGGAACAATAATGCATACTTTTCATTAGATGTTAATGAGGTTCCTGGACCCAAACATTAAGAAGTACCATGTGGGCTGGTAAGATGGCTCAGTAGGTAAAGGTTTTTGCAGTTAACCTGATGACCTGAGTTTGATCCCCACATAGTGAAAGGAAAGCAACTCCTGAAGTTGTCCTTGGACTGCCATATGCACACATCATGGCAGGAATGTATATGTGCCTACATACGTGAATATGTACACTAAATGTCAAAATAAGTTTAAGAAGTACTCTGCATTATAAAATCATAGGCATATGGGACTTTTTGACAACGCCAATTACGGAAGCTGCCACTCTACTATATATTAAGGATAAATAGCATAGGACAGATGACAAGGGGGAAAGGTAAGTTCAGTTATAATGGAACCTGCTGGTTTGTCACTACCGAAGATGTACAGAGGTCAAATGTTCCATCAGGTATGAACGGAGTACAACACAGGAAAGGCACACACAGGAAAGGCATGACGCTTTGTACCTTTCCCCTCTGTGTGTTGTCCTTTTCTGGGGCTGACTGCTCACTGTGTTGACTGCCAGTCTACAACTGTTTCCTCACTGTTCCAGTCCGGGTCCTCTAAATTCCCCTCACTACATTCTGCTTGCCTGCTCACCTACAATGCAATGTTTGGGGTCAGGAACCTCATTTACCTTTTCTGCTTATGTCTAAATAGTGTGAAAATATGGGCTGATAGAAAGCCCTGGAGGGTGTGGGGTTTTAGAAATGCTCGTGATCATCATGGTTTGATAACACAATTCATCATATGACTCCAGAACAGCAGAAGGACATCCCAGAATGTTCTTCTCCGTCTTCATGGGAGGATGGGGCAGTTGTTTGATCAATGTGGGAAGAAAATGGAACTGGATATTAGAAAAGACACTAACAAGGCCAGGGTCATCTATAACATATTTATGAAACTTTCCTCTTGGAATGGATACAATCTGCTTCTCTGAAATGACTAGACATTATCAAATAAATATGCATTTCTAATATTGCAAAGACCATGTTTTTTCCTATTGTATTCTAGGACCTAAAATACTGTATTTCCTAAAAAAGACATTGGTTATTTGTAGGGAGACTTTGGCTATTTTTATTTACTTATTCCCTGTTTTAAGAATTACTCCTCCTCCACTTCCTCCTCCTCTTTTTCTTCTCTTTTTGTTTGGTTTTGGTTTCTCTGTGTAGTTTTGGTGCCTGTCCTGGATCTCGCTCTGTAGACCAGGCTGGCCTCGAACTCACAGCAATCCACCTGGCTCTGCCTCCTGAGTGCTGGGATTAAAGGCGTGTGCCACCACTGCCCAGCTTGTTTTTGTTTTTGAAACACAGGATCTCATGTATCCTAGGCTGGCCCTAAGTAGTTCAGGATAACTCACAAACTTCTGATTCTCCACTGTACTTCCCAAGTGCCGGGACTACAGTGTGTTTGACTATATACCAGGCTGATGCCTTGCTTTTGTTAATTACATTGACTTCAGGCAAATCTATCTGATGCCTCTGAATCCTAGTTTCCTTATTTGGCAAACAGTAACAATATCACCTAACAACCCATAGAGCTATGAACTGACATTAGAATATATAGCCCAGCAGGCTGAACAGAGTGTCTAATACTACAAAGCAGATGAGTAATAAATGTTAGATGTTATAATTCTGTAGTTTGACATTCAGGGCTTTCTTAATTTGGTCTAATTCTCTACCAAGTCTCCTTGTCTCAGCTATGTTTTCCTGAAATCCATGTTCATGGTGCCTTCTCTGAAACACAAACTACACTATTTGTATTTTAAAACACTGTAATTGCTCCCCATACACTAGTGAAGTACAAGAGTTTTATCAAAAATACCAAGTACCCTGTGGTATTTCTTTTTTTACTATTAATTATGAAAGCTTGGCCTTAGCTTGGGCTTTTCCCCAACTAGCTCTTAAATTAACTTGTTTTTATTAATCTTTATTCCGCCACGTGGCTCAGTTACCTCTCCTCTGTACCGTATGTCTACTTCTTCATTGTCTCACTGGGATCCCCCTGCCTGAGTTCCTCTCTTTGCCTGGAAGTCCTACCTAGTCTCTCCTGCCCAGCTATTGGCCATTAGCTTTTTTTTTTTTTTTTTTTTTTTTGTTTTGTTTTTGTTTTTTGGTTTTTTTGTTTTTTTCAAGACAGGGTTTCTCTGTGTAGCTTTGGGTGTCTGTCCTGGATCTCACTCTGTAGACCAGGCTGGCCTTGAACTCACAGCAATCCGCCTGGCTCTGCCTCCCGAGTGCTGGGATTAAAGGCCACCACTGCCCGGCTGCCATTAGCTCTTTATTAAACCAAGCACACTGACACATCATTATACGGCATAAATAAATATTCTACAACAGTTCCCCCTTTTTATCTAAATAAAAAGGAGAGGGTTTAACTCTAACATAGTGAACTATACATAAAAAGAACAATTATCAGGTAGGAATTACACTCGCACTGTCCAGTCCATTTGGTTTTGGTTTGCATGCCACCCTCATTTTACATCCTAACAACACAGCTTGTTCTCTACTATGTATGTCTTTCCAGTCAATGGCCACGCTTTTCAGGGTGACTATGTATGTCTTCCCAGTCAATGGCCATGTGCTGTGGGATGGTCTGTATGTTAAATTGCTCTGATTGGTCAATAAATAAAACACTGATTGGCCAGTGGCCAGGCAGGAAGTATAGGCGGGACTAATAGAGAGGAGAATTGAAGGAACAGGAAGGCACAGAGAGTCACTGCCAGCCACCACCATGACAAGAAGCATGTGAAGATGCCGGTAAGCCACGAGCCACATGGCAAGGTAGAGATTTATAGAAATGGATTAATTTAAGCTATAAGAACAGTTAGCAAGAAGCCTGCCACAGCCATACAGTTTGTAAGCAATATAAGTCTCTGTGTTTATTTGGTTGGGTCTGAGCGGCTGTGGGACTGG